ACTCTAATATAATTATACGATTGCAATAATTTGTATACACATACATAAATTGAAATACTAAATTACTATATAATAAATAATTCGACATTTTTCTTTGTTCAACATTTTTAAATAAAAAATTAAACTCCAATCTGGATTATCACATTACCAAATATTAAACAAAACTGGACCAATTCATAAATTGTTACAATTAGCGGGGCCTTCTTTTGATGCACTTTAGCTACTTGTTCTACAAATATAATAATAATTCTCGACGGCACTTATGAATCAAGTTCTTCTTTGGTGTGCTTTATGAAGTTCCCCTAGTCCCCTACCAATGAAATAAAGACGAGAGTAGTTTTGCAAATGAATTAAAAAGTACTTGTTCTTCTAGACGAAATCTCTGGCTTGCCTTATTAATTTTAGTGAGAATTTTTTAGTCTTCTTAATTGTCTCTTCTCAAAAGTGTTGAGCCTTTAATCCAGAGTGAAGCAAAATTTGGGTTTTAATGTAGTCGAGAAATGCACTTTGCTTCATCCAAAAAAGACAAGAAGAAGAATTACACATTCGTTCGGCTAAAGCGCATTTGTAGTAACTTTTGCTACTATAAGCACCGCATAATTAAGTATTAAAGTAATTAATCAATATCTCATCTTACTGTTCGATTTAATTAATTACTTTATTACAACCTCTTATCAAAGGATTTCTACGGGTCTTGTTTTGTTCCGGAAGTAAATTATTGCTTTGGAAAAACCAGATTATTCTTTTCTAATAAGCCCACGATTGACCGTTACTCCCCGTCTCCCCTCCCCCCTTTTCTTTTTTCTGGTCAGAGGAATGTTCCTCATGTCCTAGTTTCTTTTTGTTTAAATAATTTTTTATAGTAACTCCTAATCTGTATTTGGACGCGTTCTGGACTTGATCCATAATTGTAAATAATGCGCGTTGAATTCGAGGTCAAATGAAATGAGAAGCTATAATTACTAGTTGAATAACTTGTAGATTAGTAGTAGTATTAGCTATAATGCATTTTCGTAGAAGAACATTTTTTTTTTCTTGAGTTTAAGTAGTATAAGATTAGTGTAATTAGTTTTTATATTATCAGCTCACTTAACTGATTCTCCCTCCGTTCATTTTTACTGGACACGTTTTGACTTTTTATGCCCCTTAAGAAATATTAAATAAAATGCATAATTTATCATGATACTCATATTAATTGATGCATATTTTATTGGATTTGAGAAAATGATTTGAAATGAGTAATAAATACTGTGGGTATAACAAAAAAAACTGTTTTATCTTGATATGAGTAAAGTGACAAGTAAAAATAAAAATCTATTTTTAGTATATATGTCAAGTAAAAGAGAACGGAGTGAGTATATACAGATAATTAATCTTCTTATAATGTGACATTCGGTGTCTTAAAAATAAGATACTATAATGATAAAGCTGATCTAATTGATTGGTGTAAACTAATTAAGTACACGACCTAATTTTTTCTCAAGAAAAGCATTAAATTCTCTAACTCGGCGGCTTTTAATTACTTCACAGTCAACTGACTTAGTCAAGCTTCACTATTTATTAAGTATATCGAAATACTATATAAATGATCGTCTTCTTACAGACTATATCACTCGCTTAGCAAATTAGTCATGGCTCACAAGATTTTCTTCATTTCTTCTCTATTTGTCCTGGCAATATTCACCCAAAAAATCCATGCAGTTGATTACTCTGTGACCAACACGGCCGCAAACACCGCCGGCGGTGCCCGTTTCAACCGAGATATCGGTGCTCAATATAGTCAGCAAACACTGGCAGCTGCTACTTCGTTCATATGGAATACCTTCCAACAGAATTCTCCGGCTGACCGCAAAAATGTGCAAAAGGTAAGCATGTTTGTTGACGACATGGGCGGAGTAGCTTACGCTAGCAACAATGAGATTCATGTTAGTGCCAGGTACACACATACATGAACTCAACATATAATTAAGCAGGGAATGCACGTTTTAAATTCAAAAATAAATATTTACTCTCACACGTGTGTGTATATATATATATATAGAGAGAGAGATTAAATAGTACTAACATATGCATATTTCCTTTTATGTATCATAGTTTGACTAGACACGATAAAAAACTTTTGATTATTATAATTTTAGATAAAGTTAGTTTATAATTTTGTTTGAATCTTATGATCTTAGACATATCATGTCATTCTTATAAGAAAGTGTCACTAATTAATATCGAATCGAAATATTGGAATAAGATACTTATTAAATATCAAAATGTAATATTCTTTTCTAAACAAACTAAAAACACTATATAATCGTATAAAACAGGAGAATATTAAGTTTTGCCTTATAATATTTAAATCTTAAATTCGTTTTTGCAGGTACATCCAGAGTTACTCTGGTGACGTGAGGAGAGAGATTACTGGAGTATTGTACCACGAGAGCACCCATGTTTGGCAGTGGAATGGGAATGGTGGGGCTCCTGGAGGATTAATTGAAGGGATTGCTGATTATGTGAGGCTCAAAGCCGATCTCGCACCTAGCCACTGGGTGAAACCAGGTCAGGGCGACCGATGGGACCAGGGCTACGACGTGACCGCTCGATTTCTTGATTATTGCAACAGCTTGAGAAATGGGTTCGTGGCACAACTTAACCAAAAGATGAGAAATGGCTACAGTAATCAGTTCTTCGTTGACTTGTTGGGGAAGACGGTTGATCAACTTTGGAGCGATTACAAAGCTAAATTTCGCGCATAGCCTAACTAGATAAAAAAATAAGAAACATCATCTAATGCCATTGTACCAATAAAAGGCTATTTGTGTCATGGTCTTGTTGAAGAATCTATATATTATTAAAAGGAGAGGAAAAAACCCTCTCCTTTAGTTAAGTGGAAATCTAAAAAATGTCACATGACATAAGTAATTAATAATTAATTATTGATTATTGTGTTTATTCAAATTGGAGAGTAGTTCCAAGTTAGAGTTTTTAAATTATTTTAAAATTAAAACTAAAATTACAAAAAATAAAAAACTGCCAATTCAAAATTTCTTTATTTTTTTAAATAATTTTTGTTTTTGTTTTTAAAAATAAAAAGTTTATTTATTCAGAAAATATTATTGAGAATAATAGAATAAAATTTTATTATTGGGTATATCATATTGACAAATAAGATGGCAATTTATTAAAGCAATACGATCGAATATGTTCAGACAAGCCCGATCACAATTTAATGTAATTAATATTTTTTAATCTTGACCGCGCATCGCTATAGTAACAACAATAATATAAGCACAAGGGGTTAATCAGTACAAGTTATCTCACTCGTGTGACTGATTAGTTACCAATTCCACTGCATTGGAGGTGGACCCATGTGTTGTTAAGGGGATAATTACAAGTTATTTCCAGACTCCAGTCATAGTTTGTTTCATTACTCATATCCAATAACGATATTCTAAAGTCTATTTTACTGCCAAAATATTGTTAAACCTTTTTACAAAGTATATTTTTGGTTCTCTTCTCATGTTTTTTGCTCAAACATTCAAGTATATGTGTTGAAATTATTTATGATTTGTTGGCTTAATTTAAATTAGATGTGTCACACCTCCTTTTTCCCGCGGGGTAGGGGAGTTTTTCCAATTAAAGTGACATTAATCGAAAAGGGATTATTTATTTGATCAGAGTCGCCACTTGGAATAGTTGTTATGGTGTCCCAAGTCACCGGTTTATTTTAAATCCCAAATCGAGGAAATTGACTCTATTTTATGGTCCGCGAACACAGAAGACCGGGTAAGGAATTCTGTTAACCCGGGAGAAGGTGTGAGGCACTCCCGAGTTCCGTGGTTTTAGCACGGTCGCTTAACAATTAATACTTGGCCTAATTATCTGATTTATTACATATTTAAAGTCTATTGTGCTTTTGACCGCTTTCTGACCGCTTTTAATTATTTATGGAGTTTGTTTGAACAAGTCGCGATGTCGTACACTTGTCATTTTGGCACACGTCGCAAACCGCACCACATGAAATGCACCCGCGATTTACGACATGCTTATTTTATTAGTGTTTGAAGTTATGGTTAGGTCACATGAAATGCACATCCGAATTTAGATTTATGGTTTTAGTACATTTTACGAATCGCGCCACGTGAAACGCACCCGCGATTCACAACATGTTAATTTTATTGTTGTTTGAAGTTATAGTCGGGTCACATAAAATGCACACCCGAATTGAAATTTACGTATCGCGACTATGCCACGGGAACCGTACCCATAGTTACGATGCTTTATTTATCGCGCCTAAAGCAAGCTACGATTGTTAGTTTACTCAAATATTTGAGATGCATTGTGGGGCATACAAGTTATAGATATCACTTTGTAGATGAAGTATACAATTTGATCACTATAAATTATTTGGGCTTCTGGCCGAACTTATCTTACTATTATTAAACTCAAACAATACCATGTCCCAATATTTTTGTAACAAGCTCCGGCTCCTCTATTATGATATAATTTCAATAAATTAATCCCATCTCTTATACTATCAACAAACTATATATTTAAACTTCTGCCACCACTAATTATTTTTGCATTTTTCAACTAACAAATAAAAAAGAAGAAACCAAATCATGAACAATTAAAGCATTTTCTAACAAATATGCAGAATATCCAAAACATAAAATGAAAAGATGGCAACATTTTAAATCAGAGAGTAAATCAGAACATACAAGACCATATTAATGTGGCCACGTTTTATTCAAGCTTGGCATGAACTAGAACAAGATGAAGCAAAATGAAGATTCAAATCTAAGAGTTTTAAAAAAACGGACCTTAGTGAGCGGATTTATCTCTGATTAATGCAACTCTGAATTTACATTTCTGTTTAGTCGAAAAGCAAACGAGAATCTGGCCGAAAAATTGAGCAGCGACCAAAGATGCTAACGGGGACACGAACGCGACGGAACCTCCAACAAAACCTCGCGCCGGCGATAAATCGACCCTCTCCGCTTAGACCGGAATACTCGATCAACTTTTGAGACGAGAAAGAATTAGCTGGAAGTATTATTAAAGTAAAACCTTCTAATCCTTCTGTTTTCTTTTGTAAAGCTTTCGTTTCCAAGACTTTAAAATCGAAAAAGTGATGATTATGGAAGTAGCTTTTGTGTGTATGCGTGTAGTGAGTGTCATTTGGTAAAAAAAATCAATTATGCGGTAAGATGAGGTGTGGGCAAAGCGGCTAGGTTCTTGTGAATTAGCTTAGGGTTTTTGGGTGTTAATTTGGTTTTTATATAGTAGTGGGGAGTGAGTATTGGCCTTTGGATGAAAGGAGATCAATGACTATGATTAAGGGAGGGGTTTGATGGGTAAGAAAAAGGTTTGGGCTTGGATTTAGGAAATTGGGTTGGGTCCATGTCTTGTTGGGTTTTAATTTTGGGCTAAGAAGACTAAAATAATGTACTGTATTTATAAAAATCACTCCTAATAAACTACTAAAATAAAATTAAATATTAAAAGGAAAACTATATTTTTATATTTTTAAATGTTATAATAAAGTAAAAATAGAGAAAATAGGCTAAAGTCATGGTAAAGTTAAAATACTATAAACATAAATATACTAACTGACCTTAAACTAAAAATGAAAGTATTTTTGAGTTTTTAAATTGTAATTTGAAGTAAAAATTGATTAAAACTCCATAAATATCAAAGCTAAGTTAAATAAATATTTTAAACACTAAAATAGCTCAAAAACGTGCCGGATCAAAAATTACGTGCTTACAAGATGTATGTTGAAATTATTTATTTGTAATTACACTGAAAATTTTGGTTTAGTGCAGAAGCAGTAAGCTGTCTTTAAATTCTTCAATTATTAATTTGTGTTAATCTAGTTTAGTTTAAAACTCTTTCTTATTTGTCTAATTAATTAATTTCTCATTAGTCTAGTCTAATTAATTTCTTATTAATTAGCTTAGCGGGATTTAATTTCTTAAGCGGTAAGCTCATCATACTGTTCGATTGAATTATTACTTTGTTACAATCTCTTCAAAAGAATTTCTACGGGTTTTGTTTTGTCCCGGAAGTGATTTATTGCGGGGAATCTTACGGGAACATACCCAGGAAAATTACTATTTACCAACAACTAGCCATTTTAATCATGCTACTAAAAATAGCCAAAACAATTACTAATAATATATAACATTAAGAAAACATAGGCAAAAAAAGATTTTTTTACATAGGGTATTGTTGCGATTCATTGAAAATACATAGGTGAGGCAATATATAAAATTTGACGAAGTTCGAAGATGAGTTAGACTAGTTTGGAGTTAGAATTCATTAACAATAATATATAATATTAAAAACAGTTAGGCAAAAAAAGAATTTTTTTCAATGGGCATGGTTGAAATTCGTTGAAAACATATAGAAGAGGCAATATATCTGAGCGAGATTGGAGGTTATTTGAACTAGTTTTGTATCACAATTCGTAGTTAAAATAGTTTCAAAAATTCTTCTACGACACATGTATCAAACAAGTATGAGGCATGCATCTCACACACAAATAAACATGGATATACATGTGATACACATGTCACACCATTTGTTTTACCTCGCTAAATATATGTTATGGATTGTGTTGTGGATTAAAGGGTATTTTCAATTAAATCGACGATTTTAGATAGGGATTATTGTAACGACTCGACCGGTCATTTTGAGTATTACAACTCCGTTCCCCCATTTACTGCTTATCCTGTGTTCAATTATGATTATGTGACTTGTCGGGGAGGTTTCAGAATGAATTGGAATAGTTGACCGGATTTAAAGCTCAAGTTGAAATAGTTGACCGGATATTGACTTATGTGTAAACGACCCCGGTATAGAGTTTTGATCATTCCAATAGCTCCGTATGGTAATTTTGGACTTATGAGTGTGTCCGAAAAATTAATTGGAAGCTCGTAGTTAAATTAGGCTTGGAATGGTGAAAATGGGAACTTTAAGTTTGAAAGTTTGACCTGGGAGTTGACTTTTTGATATCGGGGTCGGAATACAATTCTGAAATTTTTCATATATCTGTTATGTCATTTATGACTTATGTGCAAAATTTAAGGTCAATCGGACTTGATTTGATAGATTTTGGCATCGCATGTAGAAGTTGCAATTCCTTAGTTTTATTAAGCTTGAATTATGGTATGATTCTTGTTTTTAGCGTTGTTTGATGTGATTTGAAGTCTCGACTAAATTCGTATGATATTTTAGTACTTGTTGGTATAATTGGTTGAGGTCCCGGGGGTCTCGGTTGAGTTTTGGATGGTTAACGAATCAAATTTGAGCTTAGAGGAAATCTGAAACTTCAGTCTTCTGGTGCAATCGCACCTGCGAAAATTTGTTCACAGGTGCGAGCTTGGCATCGCAGAAGCATGAGGTCCACAGAAGCGGACGGAACCTTGCAGAAGCGAGTCCGCAGAAGCGATACCAAGGTCGCAGAAGCGAAGGCGGGAGAAGCTGGGCAAAATCGCAGATGTGGACAACTTTTTCGTAGAAGCGAGTCCGCAGAAGCGAAGGAGGCGCAAAAGCGGCTTAATGACCGCAAAAGCGGTTGCACATAAGCGGTTAAAAAGTCCGCTGGTGCGGAACCTCTGGACAAGGTACAAAAAGAGAGTTCCGAGCTTTTGCCATTTTTGGTCATTTCCAACACAGGGTGAGGTGATATTTGAGCGAGAATTCATGGGAAAACTTGAGGTAAGTCACTTGTAATCATTGTTATTCAATAATATTGAATTATCATTAAGTATTCCAACTAGATTACGTGTTTTTGAGGTGTAATTTGAGAAATTAGGCCTAAGGATTTGAAAATAAAATTTGAAGATTTGGAGATCGAGTTGATGTCGGAATTTGGTAAATTTGCTATGGTTGTACTCGTAGTTGAATGGGCGTTCATATTTTATAACTTTTGT